AGCGCTTTTCACATACACACACAGAGTGACCACGGTCTCCGCTCAACAACCGCTCGTGGCGCGCTCGCTGGTCGCGTTGCCCGGGTAATGGGCTGGAGCCTGGGCAACGGCCGTCGTCAGACTTGATCCCCCGACCCCGCTTGCTAATGCTTACACATGGCGTTTTGGCTGAAGCATCACCTTGAGCCTTCTCTTTCCGCCCAGCTCGTCCCGCCCCGTTGCGTTGGCATCATGACGGTGTTGCCCAGTTCTCGGCGCCGTCGTCCACACAACGCGCCTGGCTACCTCATCAACCCTCAGCATGGCCATGAACCACCTTGCCCCCGTTCTACTCATCCCTCCGCCCCAGCCCCCAATCAAAGCCCCAGCTCCTTGCTGCCCAACGGGCTTGACCTGCCAACGAAGCTCCCCTTTGGTCCCTTTGCTTTCGCCCTTTCTCGTGTCCTCTCTTTCGCCTCCCTCTCTCTACGCATGCGCGCGTACCAAGAAGTGGCAAGCAACAACTGCGGCTCTTCCCAGCCTCCCGACCCATTGGCCCACTCTTCTGCGTCACTTGGTGCACCACGCAGCAGTCCAATCACACAGACCAGCGACGACCTACTTTTTGCGTCCCCACCCACACGCCGGGCCCACCCCTTTGTCAAGGCAAGGCTTGCCAGCCGACAACGGTTCACCTCCCACGCCGAGTCGACCGTTGAGCACATGCGCCCCAGCCATTCGCGCTCTGTGGCTTTCCCCTGCTGCACCACACTTTGAGAGACGCGTTGGTCAACAATGCCAGGTTTTGCCCGGCAACCTGCCTCTTGCTGAGCCACAGCAACGACCAACCTCCAGGTGCCCCAGTGCCGGCCCTTGTCTCATGAAGCCCTTGACCTTCTTTCCTCGCTGCCGTCGTTCACTGGCGCCCATACGCAATGAAACCACTCACACACACACAAAAAAGATCCCGACCTGCCATCACTTTCGCCTGCGCCTGGTCAGGGCCCCATGGTCACCACTCGACCTGTCCCAGCAACAACATTGACAACCACCCGTCGCAACTGCCCTTGATTCGTCGCCAATTTGGCCGCCACTCACCACTCACCATCACCACCTCCACCACAACCGCCACAACCGCCACAACAATCCTTCCCTCTACCACCCTTGGCCTGGGCCGAGCTCTTGCTCCTGATCCCGCCTCAAACTCTTGCCCATACACCAGCAATTCCTCTCGCTGCCCCGGTGATCTTCTACCAAGCGCTCACACGCTCCTTTCCCACCAACCGCTCACACGCTCCTTTCCCACCAACCGCTGCGCCTTATCAATGCCAGCTGACCAACCACTTGCTCGATTTACCCCCGATACCGCCTCCCCCCCCCCCATCAATACTTGCCATAACGAGCCCCTCGACCGTTTCATTTTACACCAGCCTGCTTCGTGGAGCGGCCCATTCCTCTTGAGCACCGGTCAGTACCCAACGTCGCCAACCTTTCTTCCCTTCCCCTCCTCCCGACAATGTTGGTCACGCTGCCACATGTTGACCATCTCACATTGCCTCTGGACTCCGCGCCATACGTTGCATTCAACCCCCCTTCAACTTTGCATTAGTCGAGTTGGTTTCCACGAGCGAAACCAACGCTAGCCTCATTTGAGTACCCGACCAAGCGCCAAGCGCCTCGATTCGAAACTCATCGCCAATATCAGCCCCAGCGTGCTGCAAATCAGCACCATGCGCACCCTCATCTACCTGGCCGTCGTCGCCATGGCGGTACGTTCATTTGCCCCCCCCCTGAAGCAACCCCGTGTCTTCAACGTCCCAGACAGCAGGCGGGCAGACTTTCGAACAACTTGTCGCCCTCAAAGTCTCATACATGTCATCTGCACTTCGACAGATTGGCTTTGTAGCGGCCCAAGAAGCCACGGAAGAGCCAACCGTGGAGCCTTGCGAGAACCGTGACTGTGACTGCCCCGAGGGCACTGCCAAAGTTTACTATTGGGACGATAACAACTGCCGCCACTGCTCTTGCCGCGATACTGGCGAGATCACAGAGTCTCCCGTGACAAACCCTCCTACTACAGAAGGGCCAGTGTTCACTACCACTACCCGCGCTCCCGTTACCACCACCACCACCACTCAAGCGCCCACCACTCGTGGCTGCCCGGCTTACGAAGCCTGCTTCTGCAAGCCCGGTGCTGAATCTGTCATTTTTACGA